ACCCTGTATAAAGATGACTGTTTTTGGTTTTGTCTTTACGCGTACTTTAATTGTGTGGAAGAATTTTGCAATTTTATAAAGCCAATTTCAAATTTAGTTAAAACTACGAATTGAAAATTTCAAATACCAACATCTTTTTTTATTAAACTTCTGAACTGAATGTTTTAAGTATGAAAATGTTCTGCTATGCGGTCCGCAACTTATCCTGGTATTATTTTGTGCATGAAAGCTAATAAAAAGAATTAGAAGCGCAAAAACTATATTTGACTGTGTCGGTAAAAAAGATGCTGAGGGATCCTCTTAAAAGTTTTAAAAACTGTACTTTATTTTAAACACGCTGAAATGTTTTAACACGTTACTTGTAATATGGTTTTATTACAGTATTCCTTCTTATAGCTTTAACATAAAAGTTTTCAAATTATCGCAAGGAGCACGTTTAAGGTCAAAATAATATTGAGCGTAAAAGCGACAAAGTTTCTCTTTAAACTTTTCTCGCCAGACTCTTCAATCCTCTCAACAAATACAGGAAATAAATAAGAAAAAAATGAGAAAGACACTCACTTGACACATCGCTGCTCTTTCGTCGTCTCCTGCCGACAACCTTGGTGCTACCGGGCGCGTACAGAGGATCGTCCTCCAGAGAGACCTCCCACGCGATAGAGTGTCTCTTGCTGATGGGCGGCGGTGGCGGCAGCAGCTCCTCCAGGGAGTCGTCGGAAAAACGCTCCTCCTCGGATTGCGTCCTAAAGTCAGCCGAGTTTCGCGCGGAGAAGTCGGAGTTACGCGTGGAGAACAGGTCGGAGTAGCGCTCCTCGGAGCAGCGGTCGGACGCGGGCGCGGAGAAGCGCTCGCTCGAGTCCGCGCGCGGCAGCGCGAACGAAACGAAGTCGAGGTTGCGTATGGAGAACGGCTCGGAGGTCGGCACGGACACGTGATCGTTCGAGCTCGCGCTCGCCACCGCGATCGAGAAGTCCGAGTGGAAGCGCTCGTTCGACGTGGAGTTGGCGCGCGAGAAGTCAGACGAGTCGCAGTTGGCCCGCATGGAGAACCGCTCGACGCTGACCGAGCTGGAGCGCGGTATCGAGGACCGGCTCTCGGATTCGGAGTTCCTCGAGAACCGGCCCTCGCTCGAATCCGAGTCGTTGCGGCTGCGGCGCGTCGACTCCTTGTCCGACCTGTTCATCAGCAGGCGGTCCTCCACGCTGCTCGACTTGGTGATCTCGTTCTGCTGGCGTTGCTGCTTCCTCGGGTGGTGATTGCCGCGATCGGGGCTGCCCTGCCGCTGGCAGCCGCCACTCTCGTCCTCCAAGCATTCCTCCGAGGAACGGCGGCGCACCTCTCGGTGCTTCTCCACCGCGCTCGGATTCGTACGAGGCGGGATCCAGTTGAACGATACCTTGCCGTCGTACGGCAAGCTGGCGAATTTACTGGGCGGACTGGGTGGCTGGGCTAACCGCAGCGACTCCACGGTTCCGTTCTCCCAGCCGTACGGCCGCTGGTGGCGGGTTTTCGGCTGCCGAAATTTAACAAGTATTTTCAATGGATTGCTATAACTTCAGATTTTTCAACCTGACACGCCGCCCCGAAAGTCCCGAAAGAAAAATTCGACCGTTCCTTTCCCAAATTTAATGCTGCTCTTCTTTGCAAGTTTAAATCGCTCAAGTTAAGATTCCGTTTAGGTAAAGTATGCAGAAAATTAAGTAAAACACATAACTGCGAAGCGAGCGTTACTTCTTAGACTTTAACGAAATAATTTACTCGCGCTTAAGCGAATAACTAAGGTTTCTTTGTTTAAAAGACAATCTTAGAAGGCCTTTGTCTCTTTAATCGTTCATAACTGCAAAACTATCGACACTTCGACATTGATAGCGCGACAATCTCAGGTTCAAATTGCCTCGAAGGTCAAAGAAACCTGGTATACTCTCGATTAAGGGGATGCTGCAGTGATTCTGCACTTTTGCATCTTTCTAACCTAAAAACTGTCAGTTCGCGGAAACATTTGTGTAATATACAAATTAAATGGCTTACGTGTACAGATCGAAAGCAGCTCGCTATTCCGGCCAAATGAAAGAACAATATGGCATTGCTGAAACTAAGTTTGCAAGTCTAATAAGAAATAATAGTGAGCAACACATACATACAGTACATGTAGCATGTGTGTTGCTCACTATTAGTTTTTATTAGACTTACAAACTTAGTTCCAGTGATGTCATATTGTTCTTTAAATTATCCGGAATAGCAAGCTGCTTTCGATCATCTGTACACGTGCCGTTTAATTTGTGTATCACACAAATATTTCCACGAAACAGACAGTTTTAAGTGCAAAAGGTGAGAAAGTGCAGAATCACACCCCCAGCATCCCCTTAAATACACCACAATTCGCTCGTTATAAAATATGCCCAAGTCTTCCTTCCGTGACTCCACCTGGAAGGTACGACGGAATCACGCGGGAATCTTCAGTAGCTCGTAGATCGGAGCCTCGCTCGAATCGGGTTTATCAAGAGCGGTAGTTTCGATTTTACGCGGCCGACTCGTAAACCGGTATCGTTACGGCGAACACCGGCGAGAAAGTCGGCGAGATTACGAGCGCCCGGGCGCCAATCTTACGTTACGTACGCTTGGCGATCCGACTTGTCGTAAGCAAGTCGAGTTACCGGCGACCTCCCTCGAAGGGCGAGAGAAAAACCAAGGGGTGAAAGGGGAGAAAGCGAAAAGATACTCACGAGAGTGGTTTGCGTGGTAACCGCGTTCCCGTGACGCATGCTATCCTCCACGGCCACCATCCACTGCTGCCGGCCGCCGACGTTATTTCGTCGCTCCGAGGCTTGGCCCACGACATTCCTCTTTGACGAGTTTCCTGGCGAGACCCTGGCCGACAAACGAGGCGAAAATGAATGGGATTAAGGCGCGGGTATGTAGTTGAATTTACCGCCGTGTGTCAGTTTTCATCTCATTTTACCGCCCTCAATGGGATTTGCGAACGGGTACGACGTGTGTGTTATAAAGTAGAGGATGATGAATATGTTTCCGATACTTCTGACACGTAATGGGATGAACATCGTGGAATATCGCGGTGAATTTAATCAGTTTGCGGAATGTTGAACCGTTGGGGAAATATTGATACGGTTATCAACATTATTTTCTCAATGCCGCTATTATTTTAACAATATATTTGCAATTACAATTTTTTTTACGTGGTTTCTCTTACTTCACACGATTGCTGTAAGTAGAAATTAATAAAAATATATGATGCAAGAATTCGTGAAAGAATTTTTAATACTATAGAAAGTAGAAAATTCGATGCGAAAAGAAGCAAAAAAGAATCGGGAAAATTGAGGGAAAGAATAATCACTTTTTGTAATTTTTTTTCCGCTCAATATAATGTTGGTCTCGGAAATGTTCTATAAGTTTGCTTTATAATCTCATTATTACTTTAACAAATTTTGAATTGCAATTATAATTCGATATTACCGTAATCTATCATGTTATTTACAGCACACGACAATTTTATTTCGTAGAAAATAAAAAATATTGTTATAGAATTATCACAAAAAATAAATTAAAATAATTGACATTAAAAATGTTTCACAGCTTAATAAAATTTTCGTGATGATATTATTTTAACGACACTGTATATATGTATTGTATAATAGATATAATTTTGAATATACATATATTATAATTTTGAGTTTTAGAGATTATAAATTTATTAAACATTCGTCAATTTTAACATTAAATTCATACATGAGGATCTAAAAAAATCTTTACAAAATTTGAAAAAATCCGAATTCTTTAAAACTTAGACTTTTATCTTTTTAATATTATCATTTCAAATTTGTTTTGACACCAGATTTGGTCAGATTTATTAGACTTTGCTTGAAAGTCCCTTAGGTTTCAATAAATAATTAAAACATGTAAATTAGCTGTTATTCTTAATCGTTTCGCACTTACAAATTTTCAACAAAATAAGATCCGGTATTTAACTATAAAAATTTCAGTAACTTTAATAGTCGCAATAAATTTTCCTTCTGATGAATGAAAGTTCTAATAATATACTTAGTGCTGAAATGAATTGTTTTTTAACGCATCTTGTACACGTCACAACTATATTTAACTTAACGTTGAACTTGAAATTTCTCAACAGTTGGTATTTAACTTAATAGAGTATTTTAGAGTCCGAAATTATTTAAACAAAACTAGAAGTAATTACATCCTTTCTTGGTTTAAAAAGAAGCTTTTTATTGAACAGCATAATTTGCATGCGTTTGACCAATTCGCGTGGACAAAGCACGCGTCTCGAGCGCGAAAATTGTGATTTTTTCAAGCGACGCGCGCAACGCTTGCGAAACGCGAATCTTTGCAAAACAAGCGTGACAATGCGTCATCAAGGTATCGGATAGGTCGTTTACAGCTTTACAGGGAGAGTGAAGTTTTTTTATCATATTAATCCCTTTTCAAAAAATACTCTCAAAGTTATCAAGTCACCGAGTAAAACCGTGTAAATTCTGATAACCTATGCCGCTGAGTAACCAAGTCGTGGAGGCATCGGGGAAGAATAAGAAGGAACTTTCAGAAAGAGAATAGTATGCGATAAATCTGGCAGGAATTCATCATCATTATTACACTGTGCGATCGATCTATTTGCAGTTTTTTTTTCCTGCGAGCTGAAATTGTCGGATTGGACCAACAGCGTTGAACGTGCAAACGAAATTCGGATTAAAGGAAAAGGCGATTTTTTAAATAAATCGCGCGAAGGCAAATTCGACAAATTTTACGGCGTAGGTAAAAAATATTAGCAATAAATTTATATTAATAGAATTATATCTTCGCGGTAAAAGCGTCATACGAAATAAAATATTTAAAACATATTTGAAAAACAATATCGTTGATTATGTAATCATTCTTAACGCTGATCGTTGACTTATCGCGATCCGTTCGAAGCTGAACGGACTATGATTCTAGATAAAAAGTGCAAGTTTCCTTCGTGAATAATAATCTGTTCGAATCTGTGTTACTCATATCTGAATCCTAGTTTTACTTATAATTCGCTATACTTGCGATAACGCTGCTTAGTCAATCTTCGACGTGCTTTATTTTTAGGCAAATTATACAAGCACGAATTGAATCGTGCGATTCGAACACGCGAATTTCGCGACGTTCGTGGACCTTCCGCATAGCGTCTCAATCACACCATCGACCGTGTGACGAGAGAAGAAAAGAATTTTCGTTAAACAGCAGGTCTGATCGATTTCTATTTGATCGTCGTTGTTCGACGAACGCCGCCTTCATAGGAAAGCAGCGAAGAAAGTGGCAATACGCATGGAAATGCGCGTTATTTAACGAGCAATGATGCGCAACAAGAGCCGCCTTGCTGATATTTGCGCCTCGAGTGCTTAACTTCCGCAAAATATGCTCGTTTTTAAGCGAAACTATTACCGAATAACTTCCGATGAATCCAACAGTTGCGTTATGCTTCAATGTCTCGATTATGATAGCCAACGTGAGCCTCAACTAATCCATAGAGGAAAGTTCTCTATTATGAGATAGATTTCCAATGTGAGACAGCAGGTTTTCAACAACCGAATTCAATCGCAAATCTTTTTTCGCAACGATTACACAGTCTACCAATGAATTTTCCACTAAACAGATTTCGCTCCGAGGGCAATAGATTCATGGTGGATTCAACTGATGACGCCTATTAATTTAACAGAAACCCCGCGATTCCATATTAGGGTCCTATCTCATAATAGTTGTAGGTTCACGTTGGTTATCATAATCGAGATATTGAAGCATAACGCAACTGTTGGATTCATCGGAAATTATTCGGCAATAGTTCTGCTTTCCTCTATACAGGGTGTCACGGATAAGGTGTCCATCCACTCGTATACAGGTAGAGCGGGTTAAACTGAAAAGGAAAGTTACGTGTCAATTTGTAAAATTCGCAATAGTTTTCAAGTTATAAATAAAAACGTGGGGGAAAGAGATTTTAGGCGTTGTGCGAGATTCCGCGTAAACTTTCTGCTGAAAAACGGAAGGCTCTTTCGCGCGAAACACGTTCGCCACCACGCGACCGCGCAAAGGAAGAGTCACGCTGATTTTCTGCGTTTTGCGTCAACGACGACGAGACCGACGACGACGGTTACGACGAGAGGGACGTTTTGCCAGAATGACGGCCACTCGACAGAGAAGAGAGGTTTCCACGGACGGGAGGCACAGCTCGCGTCTCGAGGACGGCAGAAAATGCTCGAATCCTCTTCGCGGACTGTGAAGACGTTTCTCTCCCACGATAGAACGAGTAATAGGCATGAAACGTGGTGATTAGGATCGACAGGTACAACGAGGACGCTGCCGCCGCGCTGTCGTCGACGGCTTAAGGACTCGCCGCTAACAAGCACGGCTGTGCCTTCGATCGCCCTAGAATCGGAAAATCTTTGAATATCTCGCCGCCGCCACCGCCGTGAAAGCTTAACGTAATGTGCTATTCAAACTCTGTCTTACTTTTCATCGTGATATCAAATAATTATACTGTTCAACAAAAATCGTTTCGATAACAATCATCTTTTAAACAGAGAAAACGATTTCTTTGGATTTAATAAATTTTGTTGTATCTAAACAAATTTGATATTCGGAATGGTCCAATCAAATCATTTGTTTCAATTTGAATTTTTCGTAATACATTCGAATTTAAAGGGTTATCGACGTTAAGGTGATGCTGGAGTCTCTCTGTTTTACCGACATTTTTTTATATAAGGATATCTTTTAATTGGCTTTACAGAATTGCAAATTCTTGTACACAATTAAAGTTCGCACAAAAATGAAAGTCAGCCTACTCGACTTTATATAAAAAACGAAAGAAACTAAATATTCCATTAATTTTTGGCATGTAGAGCTGTCACATGACGATAATATTTGCTTAATACAAAAGTTCTATAGTTTATATCTGCAAAATGAGACCGGAGTGACCTAGAGACAACATGCAAGACTCCAGCATCCCCTTAAAAGTGAGAATATTTGTAGAAGTAACATCGCTCTAATTTAAATTAGCAGCGATTGCCAACAGACGTATTTCATCGACGCAGACCAGTGGAAAAGGATTGGCTGTGTTTGCCCGTCTGCGAAATAAATGAAAAAAATCTTCAAAAACGCCCTTGGTTTTTACATACACAGCGAATCCAACGAACGAGCCAACCACCGACGAAACCGGCTCAATAGCTTTTCAGAGGAGCTTGCGTAATGGAAACTACGAAGCGCGCGACGGCGACGGCGCCGTCGTCGTCGTTGCTCCCAACGTATTTCGTCCTTGCCGAGGAGAATGCAATCGGAGTTACGCGAAAGTAGTACGAATACGGGAAGAGGGAGTTTAACTTCTGACCGTCCGGGAACCGCGAGGGTGTTCTAGTCTTCCAAGTCTTGTTTGAAGTAACGGAGCGAAGAGAGTTGACGAGGCCGCGACGACCGCGGGCGAAACGGCACCTTGTCCTGATGAAAGGAAGTTACTCCCTGAAGCTAAACCCCGAAGAGATATGAAAAAGTTCGGGAAGTCGCGACGGAAGAAGCCCCGCCACCTTCTTCATTACGGAAACGGAAGTCCGTCCGCGGCCCCGAACGCGTTGAAACACGGAAGAGAAGCCCCCGCAGCAGGTAGCGGGACGACGGGCAGAAATTTAAATAGACGTGCGTTCTCCACGGGTCTTCGTGACCGACGCGGCCGAGTAACTCCGTGAGTTATCGTTGCCCGGTACGTGAGCGAAATTATTTACCGCCCCGTGAGTTTTTCGACGCGAGACGCGTGGTATTCCACACACGATCTCGCCCTTTTAAATGTAACGCGAATCTGTGAGAGCGCAATTCGTAAATTTCGGCGTCACTTAAAAAAACACCGCCGTCACGTGGGTTTAACGATCGAATCTTCGAGTCTCAAATCGATCCTTCTCCTTTCCAACAATTTTCTACATTCAGCGCTAAGTATTTTAGCAATTGTATTCCAAGTTCCCGAAGATCCAAATCACATTTTTGCGGAACGGAGTTCAGTATTAAGAGTATAATTTCACTAACGACCGGAGTCGAGGGGTGTAAGACCAAGACTGATTAGTCATTTTAGTATTTAGAGGTCGGGTAACAAATATAAACATATAACAGAAGACAAAACTCATTAAGTTCTTCAAAATGCCATGTTGGCCCACACTTATACAGGGTGTCCCAGGAAGAAAGGTCAATATTCTGGGAGGTGATAGTATCGGTCATGTTAAGCAAAAATGTTCATATGAATATATGTCCCGTTCCCCACTGTTTCCGAGATAAAGCACATTTTGCTAACGTCCTCGTTCAGATAAAACATGAACACTGGGAAGCGTTCCGCTTTCACGCAATGTATTGAAAACCTTGGAAAACACTTTACGATTCGGAGTTCTGCGCGTAGGAAAGCGTCGACGGTACTCTTCAACAGCAGCGATATCACTACCATCACAGAAACCGTAAACACACAGCATATTCGACATTTATGAATATGCGAGGCATTTTGAACATTTCTACAGGGTGCGGCAGCATAACTTCCTTTTTTCAAATCAGGTAGGTGACGTCCCCCATTCTCCATACACTGAGTAAACCGATTTCTGGCGTTTGTCATGACTTCTGCCAGCATAGCAGGCGTTATGTTGGCAATTTCTTCCTGGATGTTGGTCTTCAAATCTTGTAGGGTCCTTGAACGGTTCACATAAACACGGGATTTCAAAAAACCCCATAGAAAAAAATCACAACGGGTCAAATCGGGAGAGCGGGCCGGCCACTCCAAATCGCCCCTAATTGAGATGAGGCGCTCTGGGAAGTGTTCCCTCAAAACAGTCAATTGCCATCTTGTATGGATGGAAATGAAGATCATCATGAAGAATTCTCCTCACAGAACGATCGGAAAATCCAAGGGCAGACGCATGTTTGCGCGCACAACGCCGTGGTGATCGCAATATTGAAGCTCTCACTGCCTCAATGTTCTCAGGTGATCTAATGGGCCGAGGGACTCCAGTTCTTCATCTTGTCGCACTTGTAGTTTGTCTGAACGTAGTGACCCACGTAACAATTGATTTCCGGTCCGGGACAGGGGCTAACGGGGCTAAATTAAAGCGATTCCGAAAGGCGCGCTGGGTTGCGATCACAGAACATCCGCTCGAAAAGTAGGCCTCAACGGCAAACGCACGCTCCTCACTGTTCCAACGCATGATGGATCGCATCCAACGCATTGATCCCGACTGAACTGTGTCGGGACAAAACTTTATAGTCCCGCCTCTCGAACGAGACCACTAGTGCTCCGCTACATCAACCGACTAAATGGCGCACATTTTAAAAAAGGAAGTTATGCTGCCGCACCCTGTACAATGTTATCAGCACAACGGTCAACAGACGTATAAGAGTAAATTCCCGCAGACATTTATGAGGTTGGATGAAAGGTGAAGGGTACAGCAAAAAAGTAAATACGCGAGACATTCAAGTGGCTCTATCTCGGAAACAGGGGAGAATGGGGCATATATTCATAAGAACATTTTTGCTTAAAATGGCCGATACTATCACCTCCCAGAATATTGATCATTCCTCCTGGGTCACCCTGTATAATCTCCGAGATAAATTTTAAAAGAAAATTCTTTCCGTGCAGTACAACGTAAGACGCTGGTGTCTGGCTTTGCGTGCAGTTCGGGCTTATTTATCGATTCCCTACTTGCTATTTTATTATTATTATTATTAAAATCACGATGCCTATGTTACATAGGGAAAAGTCCTGTATTATGAGATAGGCTTCTAATACGAAACAGCGGGCTTTCAACATTCCAAATTCAATCGCAAATCTTTTTCCACAACGATTACACGATCTAACAACGAATTTTCCACGGATGCCGCTCCAAGGGCAATAAATTCATGATAAAACACACCCATACAGCACAGATGGTTGCAGTTACATTGCAGAAACGTTGCAATCTTGCAAAGACATTGCAGGGATATAAAATTGCAAACTTTCGATAGCAATATTGCAGCAATGTTTGAAAAATAATAAAAATACTATATTTTCTATTTAAAAAAATTTTCTAATTACGAGAATTTTATAATGTTACTTTCGTTGATACCAATAATGCGCGAATTATTAAGTACTTGATCAGTGCGGTGTTGCTCGCAATCTCCATCTATTGCGAAGCGACATAACCTCCTTAGGTTGCTTCGCAAAAGCTTGCTGTGTATTGAAAAAGGCCCGGATGCATATGTAATTAGTAAATTCTCTGCTTATGTACAACAACGACAAATTATTCCAAAAATATTGCACTGCAACATTGCTATAATGTTGCACTGCAATCTTTCTGAGGGCGGACATTTCAACGTTGCAGCAATGTTGCGCAACGTTGCTGTAATATTGCAATCTTGCAATGTAACATTTCTGCAATCTTCCTGCAATCTTTCTGTGCTGTGTGGGCACAGATGATGTCTCAATTTAGCAGAAACCTTCTCCGTTGTAATATCTTTAGCATTCTAAAATTGTTTCCGAAAATTGTTTCGGTAAGTGAAAGTGATACGCGATTGCAGCTGACGGGCGAGAGCCTCGAAAGAAAACACGTCGCGATTACCGATGATCGATGCGTCTCGTTACTTACATCGGCAGAAGGGTCGAGATGATACGCTCGGCCTCTTCCGGGGGCGGCGGGAATTCCTGCGTGGAGACACCCGCGGGATCCTGTGGCTCTGGACAATCCGGAACCGGACGTAACGCTACCAGTGCCATCTTCGCCTTCCGACCATTCATGCTCATGTAGCCGTCGTCCTCGGATTGGTGTCCTACCGGCATACGTTTTTGCGATTACGAGCGAATTTTCCGACGGGGCAGGATAAGGGGAAGCGTGTGTCGGGATCCTCGCGAGACGCCAGGACGAAAGCGATTTAATCCGCCCAACTTCCAAACTTATTCTAAACGCAACGTCTCCATTACGATCCCTTTCAAATAGTTTCCGAAATCGAAGAGGAATTGCATTACCCCCCGTCGATGGTTCGGTACTTTGGTGATCCTGGGAATACGCCGCGGATAAAACATCGCAGGCACTGATATCTCGAACTACCAAAAGCACTTCGCGAAAAGCGAAGTAAATAGAAATCGATCGCCTCGCTCGTTTTTCCCTTACATAAACTCTTCCCGGACTTGTGTTCTCAAAATGCTCGCGTTAGAAACGTGAAATGACTTTAAAAGTAAGTTAATTAAGTATCTTACAAGTAGGGTTCGAATCCGTCGGCGTAGTTTCGAACTCTCTATGATTACTTCGGAAAATAAAAGCTGTACTTTCAAGTATACTCGAGCCTGGACGAGATGGATTCGAACTCTCTGTAAGGTACCTCGAGAAACAAAACTGGTACGTCCAAGTAGAACCCGAGAATCAGATATGTTAGAATCTTTTATGAGTATTTTATTGAAAATTATTTCAAAACAAAGGAGAAAGAAAGGTGCAATTATACTAATCACAAATGGACCGTTTTGTTATTTTGATTTTAATATTTTATATGAATGATATGATAAAAGTATGACGAATATTATTAACAACTTCGTTCTTAGAGCTTGAGTGCCAGTTGGAAAAAGGTTTTCCGAAGCCTGCAGGTATACTTACTCAACTCCGAAACTAACTAGTCGGGATCGATTACCTCGCAAGTGTCTACAATGCATGAAATATTATTTCTCACGAGCATTACTCGAATCCCGAGAAACTTATTACTGAATTTGACTCGGACTTTTCAGTGCATATTAAACTTGATCCCATCCTTAGAAAACTAGAAAAATGTCGCGATTAAAAGCCCGAGTGTTATAAGCCCAATTGCTTTTCCTCCAAGTGAAAAATCGCCCGTTAATCACCATCGTTCGCAGGTGCATACTTCGGTGTGCGAGCCTGCTGTCGATAGAATGCCGATTTGAAATTTTCGCGAGCAGTGCGCGCGCGCGCGCGCGCGCGAGAGAGAGAGAGAGAGAGAGAGAGAGAGAGAGAGAGAGAGAGAGAGAGAGAAGAGAGAGAGAGAGAGAGAGCAGCTCTCTTGTTCTCTCCTTGCGAGCGCGGGGATGTGCATGCTTTCACGCCGATTTTCCGCGAATTGAATGGCAGGCCGCCAAGTCGGCAGGTTTATATTGTGCGTCCGTAGGAGCATTTCGATGGAAATAAAGGGAAAATATGTATCCCGGAACCGAGGAAAACGATGGCTGAGTTCGAAGACTTGGAACATGCCCGACGGTCCACCACCCGATAGCTGCGTTCGACGATAATCTTTTTTTTCTCCTCCTTTTTCTCTCGCTGCTCACAAAATGCGTTTTCTATGAGCCGTTTATACGCGCTTCACTTGGTGGAAGAACCTCGTGTGGTGATTTTCCAGAGTATTTACCTTATAAAATTTTCGAAGAATTCCATTATTAGTTAAACTTATTGTTATAGAAAAATATATTTAAATTGCGCCGAATTAGAATACTTTTTTTACGCAAATTTTAAATGACATATTGTATTTGCCTCTCTTTATTTGTCTTTTCTATGTAGATATAGAATGATAGAATATAGAGAAGAATGAAGAGATATATTTATTTTAAATAGATTTGAACAAGTTACTGAAAAGGTGAAGAACTTTCATAAAATGGTGTCTTACATATTTTGCATATAATTGTCCTTTTATTTCCTATAAATATACGAAAATGGAATATGCATGGAGGAAGTTTGAACGTCCGAATATTGAAAAGAAGCGCTTGAAAATCTAAATAAACACCCCAAAACTTTTAAAAATTCAACCGGAATTTATATAGGCTGTATTTTGATACTAAAAAATATAATATTCGGTGCTCGTAAAATAAAAACAGGACCTTTGCGAGAAAATTTCGGCAAAAATTCTCTGACCCGATTGCAAGGGATCCTCAACAATTTTGGGAAATCATTTAAAAAGTAAATCGTATTTAAATTATATTTTATATTCGGAAAAATAGCTAATTACCAATTAATAAATTAACAACGATTCAAGCTGATCGGTAAATGTCACTTTTGCAGTTTAAGCTTATTGTTCGCTCAGAAATTAGAAACTGGGGACCGCGCGTATTCCGAGGTGCAATCGGCAGTCGCAGCCTGTACTCCTCGTTGCGCGCAGACGGACCCTACAATTACGAGTTCGCCACGCGAGTTTGCCCGGGCCGACGTGCACGAGAGTGCTGGAAAGTTAAATATCTTAGTCAGGGTGACGAGCTAAATCACGTAAATCGCACACTACGCGCGCGCACGGCACTCACACTTGGTCGAACGCCGCGCCGCTCACCGTCGCCTCGAACGCGACAACTCGCGCCGGTGTGGAACTTCGCGTTTCAAACGCGAGAGCAGATATCTTTAGAGGGGCGGAAATAGCGTGCGAAGTTCTAGAAAGAGGCGTACTCAGTTGTCACCGGGAATTTACTATCTTCACCCTGTCGATATAAAGCGGCGCGGCTTCCTCTCTTCCGCGAGTTCGAGGCGGATGCGTCCTCGGCGGAAATTTGTCGCGCGGCGATCATTTGTCGCGATTCCCAAAGCCGGTTATTTCGACGCGAGAGAAAGATCGTGACGGAGCGCGGCGTGTTCTTTCGAGAAAATCCGAGTTTAACACTACTCAACTCATGGAACGTTACGCGTTACGCTTTGAAGCACGGTGTAACACATACAGGGTGTCCCAGAAAGAAAGGTCAATATTCTGGGAGGTGATAGTATCGGTCAAATTAAGCAAAAATGTTCATATGAATATATGTCCCATTTCCCACTGTTTCCAAGATAGAGCGTACTGTGTTGACGTTGACGTCCTCGTTCAGATAAAACATGAACACTGGGAAGCGTTCCATTTTCACGCACTGTATTGAAAACCTTGGAAAACACTTTACGATTTGGAATTCTGCGCGTAGGAAAGCGTCGACGGTATTCTTCAACAACAGCAGTAGCACTATAATACCATCACAGAAATATACAGCATATCTACATATTGGACATTTGTGAATACGCAAGGCACTTTGAATATTTCTACAATGTTATCAGCACAACGGTCAACAGACGTATAAGAGTAAATTCCCGCAGATGTTTATGAGGTTGGACGAAGGGTGAAGTGTACAGAAAAAAAGTAAATACACGAGACATTCAAGTAGCTCTATCTCGGAAACAGGGGACATATATTCATATGAACATTTTTGCTTAAAATGATCGATACTATCACCTCCCAGAATATTGACCTTTCCTCCTGGGACACCCTGTATGTTACACCTCCCAAAATTAAAAAAGCAACGCTACTTTCACTCCAACGTCTTTACTACTTCGTGTCTAGAAGGTTTTTGGTTTGCTAATTCTGAATCTGAAGTCAAAATTCTGAAATTATCGACGATTGACTCAATATAGCAGCTCAAAGTTAAAGTTTTAATTTCAAAATTTGGTTTTCTATAATATGTCTTGTAGTCAAAAGTTATTCCTATAAACGACATTCCGAAACTAGGTATCTGGGGGTTTTTGAGATCACCGATTTCTAGTAATAGTAATTGATCTGAAGTCTGAAATCAAAATTTGAAAACTTTTAGGTCCAAGGTGTATTCAATTAAAGAATCGAAATTGCAAAAAAAAGCAATCGATTTATCTGGCACTCGGTATTCGGAATTTTTCAGGTTGCTGATTGCACGTATAAGATCAAAATTCAGTGAGCCGTCACAGATCTTCAGTGAATAAAAACCTTGTATATAATTGTGGGATAAATTATAAAATATGTAGTTTGCATGATATTCAATAACAATTTGTTACATGGAAACGTTTTGGTCAGCGCATGTGACCCTCTTTGATTCATGAAAATTCATAATGGCGGATCCAACATGGCACCTGAAAATCTGTCTTTGAATTTCGTAAATCTGACACCAACGTCGTAATCAGCGACCTAAGAAACCCTTAAGCATTAAGTTTCAGAGAAATCGGTCGAAAGAAAAATTGTATGCTTCAAAGGGTTAACGATTTGATCATTAATAACGTACGATGTTTGTTGTCTCTCTACAGTTTTTGGAGTGTAATTTCCACTCGAATTATGGTGTTACTGACCAGTTCACTCCATTGAGTATTTACTGAATTCATTCGCTCTAAGACAAAAAGTGACGAATTTCACTCGTATTTTAAAGTCGGTCGCATTCCGAACTTAATAGTACGGCATTCCGCCGCTAGATGGCCGCCGAACTCGTAAGTAAGACAGCCTGGCATATGAGGGACCCCGTCCCGGCCCGGACGGCTCTTCCGCGACAGTCAGCGAAATAAACGAAAATGTCACATAAATTATAGATTTTCA